TAGCTGGTCAAGGTGGCCAACGATGTCTGCGCCAGGCACGCCCAAGATCTCTCCTGTCCGTGTATCCTGCCGGGCCAATCTCCTCGCTTCTGCTGACCTTGCAGTTTGCCGGGATAACGATGTGGACCGGTCAGGGGAGGTGGGGCGCTTCCTGGACATCGCGCCCCTTCTACTACACGGTGGCTGGCTTATAGCTACAAAGCAGTAGCATGTGTGAGGCCCATACCTTAAGTTGGGCCAATGAGGCCGGGAAGGGCCCAAGCATTCGTTCTGCGCCCAAGCTTACTCGATTGGTGGGCCGCTCTAATCGATCTGAAGTCGGCCGGGCGGCCATACGGGCGCATAACAAGAATATGTCCTAGGTCACTCGGCCTTGCACGAACCGGTGTCGACGTCAGCGGTGCCTCGACTCGATGAGATGAACGCCGACGATGACCAGTCCCACACATGCATGCTCAGACACGGTGATGATGCGCCTTAGCTCCAGCGCAACGACGGTGTACGGTACGTCGCCTCGACCTGCCAATGATGGGCGGCTGCCCACCACCACTACAGAGGAAGTCACGGCACTTACAGTAAGTGGCGGCGCCTCGGCGGCATCCGTGGCGGCCTTCGCCGACTCTCTCCGTCTCGCCTATCTTTGAACCGATCATCTAGACACTCCACTCCATGCGCGCATGCCCAAGACGACGCGACGATGATCGGCTCCGTGGCGGAGCACTGCGTCTCGCGACCAAACATGCCTTCCGCGACCAACCACGAGAGACAAAGCGAAGCGGGTGCTGCTAAATAAATGGAATGGCCGCCCGATGCTAGCCAACACGACGCCGACGCGATCGTTGACGCCGACTTCCATCAAGCGTTCACGGAACTTGCCCCGTCCGCCAGAAGGAGCGCGATGAGGGTGTTGTTCCCACTGCATGGCAACGCCGGGGAGTACTCGCCGCCGACGTAGTAATGTTCACCGGCACGCAGGTCGCCAAACTAGTAACGATATGAGTAACAACCATCTTCTTGTGTGGAACGTGCGGGGCCTGAACTCCAAGGCGCGTCGCACTGCTGTATGTGATGTAGTAGCACAACAACGTGCTTCTGTTGTTTGCCTACAAAGAATCCAAGATTATTGCGCGTATGAGGCAAGCTTGAATAATGAAACCGTAGGCCAAGGCTTCGACTACTCCTTTCTCCCCCGCTATCGCGCGTGGCGGTGGCACTGTTGTTGCGTGGCGTCGCGATCTTTGGGATGCGTCTGATATAGGCGTCCGGCGATTCTCGGTCACGATCCGTCTCAAGCCGTTGCATAGTATGGGCGAACCGTGGTGGCTATCATCAGGGTTCAGAAAGGGATTTGATTCTTTGGTGCTGCTTGTCTCATGGGAGACTTGGAAGGAGCGGAATTGGAGGACCTTCGGTGGAGCACCTTCATCGAGTTGCCACAGTGATGCAAGGGATACAACAGGGGAGCCGAGTGGGTCAAGCAAGGAATCCATTCGCTTGCACCGCTGTTCGCGCCATAGGGGTTTAACCTCGCTATATATCTGCTTGTCGCAAAAGGAAGTTTACTTAGTATAAAGTAGTGGCAGCACCGTTCGAGCCGGTGATTTGTGTTGTGTGTTCCTCGTACAAAACGCGGCACCTCGCCGTCGTTGGGTCGAGATGTACTAAAACATCTATCTCCCCTTAATGAAGCACGTGCTATGCACGATTTCAAAAAAAAGCCAATCATATTCTATACTCTTGCTGTGATGAGTTACTTTTTTATTATGTACCAAATTTTAGTGAATTCAAAGTTATATACGAGTAGATTTTGTCTTGGAAATATACTTCCACGCATGCAAGAGAGAGAAGCTCATGGAGTGGCTAGGCAAACATATAAGACAAATGGTTGGAGTTGTTTTAAGTGGATCCCACATTAATTGCCCTAGGTCACAGCTGCTCATCACCATCTAGAATTGCATTCTTTCTTAGCTAGACAACCTCCATACTCAACAATTGCTTTCTTTTGCTATCTCTGTTAAGAGTGCATTTTATAGACACATGTTAGAATAAAAGAAACTAGTGGACAAGGTTTAGACGACTTCAAAGTATCGCTTACTACTAGTGATTGGAGGTAGTACCAAAAATGATAAAGAATTAATTGTTCTCATTGATATTCACAAGAGAAATTCTCATAGTACCATAAATAAAAGTCGTTTTAGTTCTATTCTAAGTTAATCTTCTCTAACTTTAAGATAACCAAGTCTATTGAAATGCATGTGTATCTACAACATCAAGTTAGTTTTGTTAAATTTAATTTGTCATGAAATATATTGTGATAATGCATTTATTTGTTATTTTAGATGTTAATATGTTTTTTATAAACGTAGCAAAGTGTGACTTAGAGAGAACCCAACAAAACTATGTTTTGGAACCAAATGGAGTAGATAATCGACTAGCAGCCGCATGGTAAAATGTTGGATTAGTGTGTTGCTGCCAGAGGCAGAGCTACAACTTATCATCGGGGTTAGTTGACCCTGACAGTTTTTGAGAAAATCGATAGAAAATTAGTGCATCTAATAGTCTCTAATGGCGCCACTATTTTAGGCAAGACAGACCCTGATGATCATCTGACCCAGATTCACCCCTCGGTGCTGCGATATACCCTTCGTTTACAAAAAAATGCAATTCTCACTTTTTAAGGAGTCAAGTGATTTGAAGTTTATCTAACATTGTATAAAAAACATTAACATTTATGGTACAAGATAAGCATAATTAAATTAATTATAAAACATATTTTCGTAGTAAATTTAATTGGAGACATAAATAAATATTATTTACTATAAATTTAGTCAAAGTTAGTTTGACTTGTACAAATCTCAGCGAGTAGTCCTATCTCTACGTAGTACGTACACAATTTTTTTTCTGAAAGGAGTCCTACACACACTTGAATGAGCTAACAACGTGACAAACGACAAGTTTGCGCTTTTCATAAAATGGACTAGGTCTATGCATGATCTCGGCAAAGGGTGTCCCTTGCTGGCAAGGTAGACACGATCGATGTTGACTTGGGAGTTGATACTACTAGTATATATTAAAAAAAAGATTATACTATCCCATGCTTGTTTGACAAGAAGGCTCACGCACTTGTTTGTGCTGTGCACACAAAAGCTGCAGACGTCATTACGAGTTTATTTTTAATGTATGTATGAATCGCGATGGAACCAAGAGATATGTCACGTTACGTGCTGCGATGAGAGACAAGCAAGCTAGGGGTGTTTCGTTCGAACGGTTTTGATGGACAAAAACATTTTGGATTAAAATCTATATTTTAGTTGGACTAAACAACCATTTTTTAGTCCACAAAACTGGATTAAAAGGTGTTGGGACACCATGCCTCTTATTTATTATCCTCTCTCTCACTTTAGTCCATTTTAGTTTAAGGAACCAAACACCACTTTAGTCCACTTTTAGTTCATGGATTAAAATGGACTAAAACTTTTTAGTCCATAGATTAGAGAACCAAATAGGATCTTACTAAAGAGGACTAAAACACTTTTAATAGCTTTTAGTTATAGTATTTGATTAAAAAGTTACTAAAGTGACTAAAAGCTACTAAATTTAGTAGGTATCAACCAAACGTGCCCTGGCTCCCGAAGCATGGTTGCATTGATTGGACAAGACTGCGGGTGAGCTGATGCATGCACGGCGGAAAATCAGGCTCGACCTAACTTGGACCGGCGCGTCAACTCTATCGAGGATACACATTCCAGATAGGGCCAGGCGTACGTTCGCCGCCTCACATAATAGTTCGTTGCATCTGTTCATGTTCTTCGATCGGCTGTGAGAACGTCGTGCTAGAATACACATTTTTCTCACTGATTTTGTAGATTTTCCTGGTCAACAAGAATTATTACTATATGGTAAGGTTTTGGAAGGTTAGTAACCACAGTTTCTATACCAGCTTCAGGTGCCTAGTAGCCATAGATTTGTCTTCTCCCATCTCAGCTGGAAGTTGGAAGAGAAATAATAATAAAACAAGGAGGATTATCTTCTGGCCGTGCTCATAGGGATCGCCCGTATCTGCGCGGCAGCAGCACACAAGTTGAGCAAATCAAGTTGGTTGTCTCTTTCCGCTTTCCGCAGCTCAGCTCAGCACTGATCGAGTCACTGACACACAACGGAACTCGGGAGATAGAGAGCGCGTTGCTTAGCGACTAAACAAGGCAGCTTTATTTCCCCTGCCGCCGATCGATCGAGCTTTGATTCCGCCGCACACAAGAATCACTCGCCACATGCGTCCAATCCGTTTTATTCCAAAAAATGAGCTGCGACCATGCATGAAAGTCAACCGATTATGATAACGAGAAACAGTTCGTTCGCTTCGTTAGTTTCAGCCAAACTTATCAGTTATGGTATAGTTTTTTTTTCTCTCATAATAAACCAGCACCAACCGAACTTATCGGCCCATAAACCAACGCTGAAAAAAGAAATCCATCCATCCAGGTCAACACGACGAGAGCGAGGCTGGCAGCCAAAAAAGTGGCAGCTGCAGCCACCGGTTCTGGCGGCGAAGGCACAAGGCAGCGATCTCTGGCGGGCGAAAAGCGAAACCCTTGTGCGGCCAAATCTCCGGGCCACATGACCGGCACGCTTCTCAGCGTTTCCGCGTGATTTTTTTTAGCTGGCCGCTGCATGCCATGCCATGGTCCATGCTCCAGTCCAGCCTTCAGGCTTCAGCCAGACCTTCCGATCTTATTATTTTTTTTAAAAAAAATGTTATGCTGGGAGAGAGCATGATCCATCCGACCACATGCCTTATTACTAGTAGCGGGCAGGCGGGTGGGTGGGCCGCGGGTGGTCACGCAAAGAAGTCAGGCGCATGAAGCAAAGTGAGAGAGCGGGGAAGAAGCGATGACCATCTCGACCTCGGCCTCGACCTCTCCCCGTGTATAAAGAACCCGGCGCCGGCCGGCGTCCCCTACCCACCCCGGGCCCCGCCTCCCGCTCCTCCACCCCCATCCATGGCCAACCACATCCCGGACGCCGACGCCGCGGGGTTCAAGCTCTTCGGCAAGGTCATCCAGCCCCCCGACGCGCATCACCGCGCCGCGGATGAGGGCGGCGCCCTCCGCCGCCTCCGCCGACGACGGTCCTTCCTCCTCCTCCTCCCCCCCCTCCGTCCCCGCCGCAGCCGCCTCTGCCCCTGCCCCTGCAGCAGGCGCCCGGGGCGGCCGGGGGCACCGGCGGCGGCGAGCCGCTGCCGTGCCCGCGGTGCGGCAGCCGGGAGACCAAGTTCTGCTACTTCAACAACTACAACGTGCGGCAGCCGCGCCACCTCTGCCGCGCCTGCCGCCGCTACTGGACGGCCGGCGGCGCGCTCCGCCGCGTGGCCTCCGCGTCCCCGGGCCGCCGCAGGCCGCGCCCGACCAACGCCCGATCGGCCTCGGCCGCCACCGCCGCCGCCGCTGCCGCGTCGTCCGCCTCCGCAGCCGCCGAGGAGGTGGGCGGGGAGCGTTGACTGACTCGGCGGTCGTAGGGGGGCGCGGGGGGGTAGGGCTCCGGCTCCGCTTCGCCCGGGGCTGCCTGCCCATCCCGCGTGATGCCGCGCGGCGCGCCCGGGCCCCAAGCCTCAGTGACGGGCCGGCCGGCCGGACCGCCGGCCTGCTTGCGGTGGGGGGACCCCACGACCACCCCAGTTCACACCGGAGTACGGAGTACTAGTCCTCTCCTTTTGGTTTATTAGATTCTGTTTTTTCTATACCATTTTAGGATTCTTTTGGTGGCCAAAAGGATGCTGCCGGGCCGGCCTGCTGCGACCGCGAGACGAGAGAGTTCAGTTTGGTTTGGTAGGCAGTCAAAAAGTGAGTTACGAATGTTACTACCAGTAGAGTAGTAGTATCGCTGCTGCTGTAAAATTCGGCAACGGTGAATTGGTGACTCAGGTCAGGTGGCGGATTCATCCATGATTTGTTGGAAGGAAGGAAATCAATCATTCTCCATCTGCGCTTCTTAATGGTTGGTTCACGTGTTCTTACCCTCCGCGGCGCGGTCAGTTATTACGAGTGGTATGTGCAGGTGACATTCAATGAATTGGATGATGGATCATGTGAAATCTGTGACAACATTCAGCTTCCGCAGATCTGGAAACTTGAATTGAATGGAATGGGAAGGGATAGTACGTACGGCAGGGGCTGTTGTAGCAGGCATTTTCGATCAGATGATGATTTTGCGTGGAGTTTTTTCTTTGCAACTCCTGGGAAATGCCTTTTGTTGTTCGAAACAAGCCTGGTGTTGTTCCAAAGAAAAGCCAAACCTTGTAGCCTTGATAACAGTGCTACTACAGCTCAGATGTCCGCCTTCCTGGCCGATTTAGTGATAGCTTTGATGTCATTGCCCTCGTCAACGTTAAGCATCGCCCTTACGTTTAGTACCACATCCTCTCAGATTTCCAAAACAGTTATCAAAGTTTATGGTATCAATCCTAAACAATTTTGCTCTGGCGCAAGTATGCTATGTTTTATTGCACTATTTCTAAGAGAGGTACTCCCTCCATAAATTTTCTTTTGTAATCCTAGGTTTTGGATAAATCAAACTTTTCAAAGTTTGACCAAATTTTAGAGAAAAATGTCATCTCCGATTAAATTTACTATGAAAATATATTCTATAATCAATCTAATAATATTTGTTTCATAAGTTTATAACTTTTTGTATAAATTTGATCAAACTTAAATTTGTTTGACTCCCTCTGAAAGTAAGAATTGCATTTTTTAGGGGACGGAAGGAGTATAAGATGAAATGAAACAAGACCCCACATTTCGCAGTTTCATAGGCCTACATACTAAAATGTTGCATGGTGTTGTTACGAAATGAAATGCTCCCAATGAAGTTTCACTTATGAAATGAAACGCTCTCGATGTAGTTTCATTCAGTTTCCTTTTTTTTCATAGAATTACACAGTACAACGCAGATGCCCATAACATGCACACACACTCACAACAGACATACGCAAAAACCCTACCCCTATGAGCACCTCCGAAGGACTGAGCCGGCAGATCTTGAGATTCACGAAGTCACCATAGGTGCATTGAAAATGGTGTGCACTAGGTTTTTCTGTGCAACATCATCACATTTGCTAATATACCACCCATTAAACGAGTATAAAACTCCCACTAAAATTAGCAAGGCACCTAGGTAAAATAAGAACAACTACAATAATTGTCTTATAGCCAAGGTAGTCAATATTTTTGCTAACGTGGAGAAGAAAAGAAAGGATGGAGAGGAAAGCTTGGCTCTCATGCTTGGCTATGTCAATATTTTTGCTAATGCGGAGAAGAAAAGAAAGGATGGAGAGGATGGAGAGGAAAGCTTGGCTCTCATGCAAGCAAGCACGAGAGCCTATACAATGGTGGACCCAGATAACAAGTTGGATGTGAGGAGTAGGTAAGAGAATATGAGACAAATAAAAAATAGTACCATATAATTTAATAATAAAAATCAGACAGATGAATGTCTCCCACTAGGACTGGCTATATACATAGGTAAAACATAATTAGCTTGCTATGAACATTTTGCCTGACTAGTGACTGCCAGTACTAGTATGCTTCCGGCCAATGCGTGTACTTACTTGGCTACTTCTGACTTATTAGTTTGGATTTATAGAGCTAATAGTTCACTGCTAATAATTAGCGTATTTGGATCCAAACAGGTCTATCTAGTAATAGTCTAGCTAATTGTTGGCTTAGTACCGAACTAACAATTATATTACCAGTTGAACCAAACCAACTAATAGTTAGACCTGTTTGGATCCTATGGTCTAAAATTTAGCCACTAAACTTTAGCTCTTGATGCTCTAAATAGTGGTCTAAACTCTAAAGAGTGCTATTTAAAGTTAGCCAACCTCACAAAAAAGCCTTAGCTCGCTAGACCACACAAGTGTGTTAAAGTGGTCTAAACTTTAGTAGTCAACTAAACTTTAGACCATGGAATCTAAACCGGGTCTTAGCTAGCTAATATTAGCTATGAGCTATTAGCTAGCTCACTATTAGCAGCTATTAGATCCGAAAATGGCCTTAGTTTCCTGAAGATTTCAGCATTCGTAAGGTGTACTTCTGACCGACTTTCTTTAAATGAGTGTACTTGCAGCCTGAATAATTTGCATTCAGTGCTAAATGTGAATTCAACCATACAATTGTGTTGTCAATTAATCATTGTGGTAAAAGTTCGGATCTGTAAATTTATACATTGATGATCTGCGTGCAATATGGAATGAATGTGGTAACATCACCTTGCACCACCTTTCGTCAGAATATTTGTGCAAAACATTATAGTTAAGCACTCAAGATTTCAAATGGCATCCGCAACCGGCATCTCATCCTACTTGGTGATGACACCAAATCAAATTCTTCTGTACAGACCTATAAAATAAAGCATTTGGATCAGGATTAACAGAAAAAGGTTGTACTTCTTTTTCATTTCTCAAGGTGCAAGGATTAAAATAAAAATAAAAAGATCTGCTGCCTGCAACAAACCTCATTCAGGGACCCTATATGCAGAATATTTTACAATTCTTCCATGGTCAGAGTCACATGCATTAGCTGGGAGTGCACTCGTTGCAATTTAAAACCAGTGTCGACATCAAAAAGTAGGGCATCTGAGATTCTGAATAGGTGTCTGCTCCTTCAAGTCTAGGGTCATACACTTTCAAGGGCACCATGAGGTCAGGACACAATAACGAACATTCTTAATGGTCCTTAATGGTCAGAAGCACATGCATTGGCTGCAAGCATACTGGAAACACCTTTAAAAAAAAAGAAAAACTGTTCGGTGTTTCCCCATAGGTGTGTCTTGGGTGGTGTTTCCCTTTTCGCGGCTAATGTATTGTCTGTCTGGGTTTAACTTCTTTTCTTTTATATGAATAATAGATAGACATCCTGCTTGCTGTTTTCTTAAAAAAACATAAGATAAAAAAAAGGAAAAATATTGTTGACACATATTGCTTTCATGATTAAGAAAAGAAGATTGGTACCTTACTATCTGGGTGACCACTGACCAGGGATCAGGGCTACCACCTTTGTTTACAGGACACTTCTCAACCTTCACGATTTCCAACTCCAGGTATAGAATCCTGGATTGCTTGAGCAAACGTAGCAATCTTATAGGTAAAAAGCCCAACAAGCATTGGTATTAACTCCAGTTGCATGAAACCATAATCTGGAACTAATATCCTGAACCACGATAGAAAGAACATAGATTCTTGTAAGAAGAAGCACTTCTTCCAAATATTCTGAATCAATTGTAAAAGTTCACAGAGAATTTCATCTGCTTACCCATTCCATCTGTTATACATCATCACAAGTACCACTGGAATAAGCAACCTTGGTTGTGCAGCAGCACTCCTGTAAGTACGCAATAACAAATTCAAGGGTTGTCTTCATCACAAACAAGTTCTACAGGCTGCCTAGCAGCTATTTTAGATCTGTCACATCCTCATGTAGAAAACAAAAGAGTGGTCATTCTATGACAAATAAATAATTATTTACTAAGGGGATTGAGTTAACATGATATTCAGATGAGAAGCAACATTTTTTTTCATGTTCTTTGGTTAAACTCTACAAAATGATAGATTACCAAACTAAAATCATACTACTCTGTTTGGTCTGCATGAAAATAAGATGCTAAAACCTTGTAGATCAAACAAAAACAGGTCTGGAACTCTGGACACATCAACAAAAGTGTGGTGTGTAGAGTCACAAAAAGAAGGTAATATCTGGATTTGATCTCCACAATCTACCTTGAAATTGAAGCACAACTCTACAAAAGATCTCATACGACAAATATCTTTAGTTTTTATGTTTAGTTTACTGTCAAAGGTTGTCAAACATTATTTTTATTCAAAGGAGCTGAACATGTGTAACTTTCAACTTTGAAAATAGAACTGACAGTCCTGTAGAATGAGGTCAGAAAGTAAGGGTGTGTTTGGTTTGTGGAGTCGCCACATGCTTCATGAGGTGATGCATCATGAGTTCATCCCATGAATTTTGGTGGAATCAACCCATTCCTCATGCATATACTAATTATTAGCTTATGAGGAATGAGGTGGTGATGGATCAACTCATTCCATTCCATAAACCAAATACAAAAAGTGAGGAGTGAGAAGATGATGGATCACCTCACTCCTCAAACCAAACACACAATAAATTTAGCACAAACTGACTGTGCCAAACTGAAAGTCTAAGTACATTTTATTCGAGAGCCTATCTGCAAACGTGATTTGTGAAATAAATAAATGACTAACTGAAGGGAGCATACTTGATAGTTTCTCCAGTTCCACCTGCTAGGGAATCTACACTGGTTCCAAGCATGCGGAGATACACCAATGATCCAATCAACCCTGCACCAAAGCTGAAGAGTAACTGCTGTCAGTTGAAGTAAATTGATCCTAGAAGTGGTAACCAAAAAAGAGATTTTCCAACTTTATCTTTACATAAACAGCCAAAACTAAAAGTTATCTATGTCACATTAGAAGGTAGCAAGAAAATAAATAAACTCATACCTGGCAGCAACTTCAGGAGAGTATGAAATATAAGCAGAGATTACACCAACGCCACCGATGCCTAAAGTGAGCCACTGTAATCTTTGTTTCAGCTGCAAATATGAAAGTTATCAAAGACCAATAGATAATCTATGCATACTTCATATTCAAGAGCACATAATACTGGGACACATAAATGTGCAGCATGCAACTCTCTAAAGAGGTTACATGCGGAATAACATGACTACCTTTAAGTAGTCTTCTCTGGACCGAGCTGCCGATACCTTAGGGTCCCCTTGCTGCACTCTTGACTTTGACTCCCTTAGTATAACATCCTAAAATGGGACCAAAAGAATGAGACGAAGTATATGAAAATACTACAAAGAATACTGTAAAACTGTCGTATGTAAGAATACTTGATATAAAATATTGCGGACATAACTAACAAGTTAGTTAAAGGGCTGTAGTTACTTACACTGCCACCAGTGGCTGCCTTGGCCGCTCTGTCCCACTTTGCCTGCTCCCTGCGAGTTGGGACTAGCCTCCATCTAGGAGCGCTGGCTCCATTCACAGCCTACATCCGTATTCAAATAACACAACCTGTGTCACCACTCACCATCTCCAGGAGGCAAAGGAGGGCCATAATTAATAAAGAAAAGGGAATTGAAGTTTGAACAAAGGGAAATCTCACCTCAGCACCAATTGCCCGTCCTGTCCAGGCAGCCTCAACCTGGGTTCTCAAGATTGGCCTGGTCGGCGCCAGAAGCTCCTGGCTCAGATCAACGTCCACACTGTAATCCATTCAAAGATCACTCAACTTTGCAGTCGGAACAACAATTGGTGAGCAGAGAGTTTGCTTGATAACCAGGTGGGGTGAGATAGTGACCTGTCAAGGCT